GACCAAAAGGTGGCTTAGTCCTTATTTCTGTTTCTTGTAAAGGAAAAGCCTCTTGAATTTCAGTCCGACACAGCTGGAGTGCCTACTTAAGTTATGTAGGGTCAAAGGGGGAGTGCTGGGCTGTGGGGTAGGGCAGCTCTTCTGGCTGCTAGTTGTATTGTTTGAGCCCCTCTGTCATGTCAAATCTTCAAGCAGCCAGTGGTAATAACTGCGCTGTGATTTATTTCACTCAAGCTTGATAGCCTGCCTTTGGGACAGCAAGACAACAAAACTGTTGGAGTATGAGCCATGCTGAAGGTTTGTGGTTGCACTAACACCTTATCCTGCCAAGCCACAGAATATTCATGTAAAAAGATCTGGATCATAGAATGGTTGGGTTGGAAGGGACCTTGAAGACCATCCAGTTCTATCTCCCCCCTACCATGGGCAGTGCTGCCAACCACTAGGTCATGTTCCCCAGGGCTCCATCCAGCCTGACCTTGAACACCTCCACAGTTGGGGCATCAATGGCTTCTCTGGGCAAGTTGTTCCAGTGACTCACTACCCTCGGAGTAAAAAATTTCTTCCTAATATCTTCCTAATAAGTCTCCACTCTTTTTGTTTAAAATCATTCCCGCTTGTCCTATCACTATCAGACCATGCAAAAAAACAGTCTCTTTCCTGCTTATAAGCACCTTCTAAGTACTGGAAGGCTTCAGTGAGGTCTCCTCAGAGTCTTCTCCAGACTGAACAAGCCCAGCTCCCTTACCCTTCATAAGAGAGGTACTCTAGCCCTCTGAACATCTTTGTGGCCTCCTCTGGACACGGACAACTCTGAAAGCAGTAGTATCTTACCTGAAGAAAATACTGAGAAATTCTTGACTAGTGGTTGCTGCTGGGGGAGAGAACTGCTCACCTGCTCCATCCCTGGCTGCTGGTGGTTGCTCCTCTCCCTCTTGCTCTCTGCCTTATCCAGTTAGCTTGTAAGTCCTGTGGACAAGGACTGCCTGTTCCTGTGTGTTTGATCAACATAATAAGATCATGATTTCACCACAGGTATTAAGGTAATATGAATGACTAGTTTTCTGTTCATCAGCTATGAACTCTGAGAATACAGGCTATCCTTCTCGTTGTACTTCTGGACTTCGTTACCAACTATCTGATTTCTTTTATCACTGTGATTTTGGGCTACACTCAAAAGATCTGACTACTTTTTTTTTTTTTTTCTTTTGTCTGTCCCTCTTTCAGATCCTTAACCCTTAAAACTGACTCAGACTTATCCCTTAGATCTCTGAATGCTTTCTGTTATTGTCAAAAGAAGAAATGTGATAATTTGGAAGGTTCACAGAAAGCATTATTGTTCTTGCAATCTGTCCAATGTAAACTGCTTTAGAAAAGCTCTGTTGCAGCCATTTTAATTCACTTTTGCAGACTAGTAGATTTTCAGTTGGCTAAAGACAAGGACTTTTCTTTTATTGGGTACTAAGAGAGGAATGCAGTTTAACTGTTCAGTTTCTTATCCTGCAGTTCAGTTCTGCCTAATGGGACCAGGGGGAATCCTTTGTGGTTAACTTATGGCTAATCTTCCTTTGCCACCTTTTTATTGTCAATAAGGGGTGAATGCTACTGATGCAGCCTGTGGGTGTATTATTTTGGACAGTTTCTCTTCCATAACAATCAAAAATAGCTGGGGAACACTTTTGCTGCCCCCATGTCAAGGGAGATTTCTGCAGCGTCTGTGCACTGCCACATTGCAGAAAACTGGAATGGCCTAGGAGCATGATCTCAGTAGCAATGTACAACCAAGAAGCCTGGCTCTTTGTAGGTGGAGTTATACCAGTTCACACCAGCTGGGAATCCAGCCCGCTTACATGTTTTTGCTCAATTTGAAGTCATTTTACTGGGTATTTACAAGGTTGCTGATGCCTACAATGGCAATGTTACGTTCCCACAGCTGTCTTTTATTAGCTGATCCCAGAGAATTGCTGAATAATCTCTGGGGTGTATGCCAACTTGATAGGAAAGTATTACCCTGAATCTCCCTTTTTGTTTGCTCTGTTCCTGTGCCCCTTGGCAGCAATGATTCCAGGAATTAGCTTTTCTGAAATAAGAGGATTTTTTCTCTATTCCTCTAGCTTCTTTAACTATTGCTGAATCAAAGCTGAGACACAGGGGAGCTGAACCAAGCATAGATCTTCAAAAAGATCACACCAGTAAGTGGTCTTTCACTTTCCAGTGTGTTGGGTATATATCTTAGCAGCACTGATCATTAGATAGGAGCATCCTATCATCCAGGACAGCTTCTTAGTAATCTTTGATGAAAACAAACTCAACCTTCCTATGGAAAACAGCCAGGGGAAATCTAGTTAAGTGGAACCATGAGCTTTGGTCTTCCCCACATTCCTTCCCACTTTGCTGCCATTAAATGGAAAAACACCCAAGCTTGTCAACAGGTCAACACTGAAGTAACAGTGATACTCTCTCAGTGAAGCTCTCCCTTCTCTCTTATTAATGAACATTTCTAATTTGAAAATAGATACTTCATAACTAGAGGGAACACTGGAGACCACACTTGTAGGAGAAAATATCTGAACAGATGTGGCCACATAACAACAGATTTTAACTATGACACTCCACTCTTCATAGTTCAGTGTAGATCACAGAATCACAGAATAGCTTGGGTTGGAAGGGACCTGAAGGATGATCAGGTTCTGACCTCCTGCTGCACGCAGGCTTGCCAACTGCTAGGTCAAATGCTACATTATATTGTCCATGGCCCCATCCAACCTGGCCTTGAGCACCTCCAGGGACAGGACATCCACAAATGGTCTTTGGGCAACTTGTTCCAGCACCTCACCACCCTCTCAGAGGCAAACTTCCCACTGACATCTTATCTAAATCTTCTCTCTTTTATTTTAAAACCGTTCCACCTTGTCCTATCACTATCTACCCACATAAAAAGTTGATTTTCTTTGTTTATAATTTCCCTTTAAGTACTGGAAGGCCATAATGAAGTCTACTCACTCTTCTCCGGACTGAACAACCCCAACTCCTTCACAGGAGAGATGATGGAAGTTTTGCTTGGAAAAGGAGCACAGTTTCGTTTGGTTGGTTGCAAGGGAGCTAATGGCAATGCTATGCTGAGATCAAACATCGAAAACCTTTCTTCAAGTTCAGTTTCTTGTTATTATTTCTGATGCATCTGCTAGCTTTCAGAAAATGATGTGTTTAGAAGAGCAAGATAGGTGCTGTAACTTTAACACATACTTTATCTGCTTAAGATAAAGAATGGATTTTGGTGAGAGTTATGGAGACAGAAAAAAAAATTCAGCATGTTAAAATAAGGAGTTTGCAAAGAAGGATCAGGAAAAAGGGTTTTTTTAAAACTTCTTAATGCATGTAAAGCAGTTACCTTATGAAAAAGAAAATCAGCAAGTGCTTGAAGAAACTCAAACTGTATTAATGCAAAGAAATTCCTTAAGCAAAGTGAATATCTTATTGAAAAAGCAAAACTTGTTTTTAAAATACTATTCTAAGTATTCTTATTTTTCACCCTTCGTTTTTCTTTAGAAAATAAGTACTAAGTAATGGATGATGTAATATGATGTATTCTTTTTTCTTCATGTCAAATAATGACATAAAACTGCCTGGTGCATGTAATTAATCTTGTTCTTCAAGGCTGATAATGGATTCTTCCTGACTAGAAGACTCTGGACCGCAGGCTGGAATATTACAATATATCAATAATTAACTCTGAAGTTTTACTCCCACATTTGGATTCCATATGCCCGTTGATTTTAATTTATTCTTTTTCTGGTATGTTATGCACCATTTGTTCTTTTTATTTAGAATGAACTTTAGTATTTCCATCGGTAAAACTCAACGGTCAAAGTTTTACTCCTGTTGCACAGAGATAACCATTGGCTCACAGCTCTGTTTGTTTGGGTTTTAGGATATACAGTATGCCAAACTGTATTTAACTAATATAGCTGTTTGTTTCACTGATTAATCCAGAGTTTCTACTTTATTTGTGATTTTTTTTTTTTTAAGTTCTTCTGTTAGTGTCCCTGGTGTCATGTTTGGAGAGCAAAGGTCCCTCTCATAGAATAAGTGGCTTCTGCACTGAGGTGCCCTGGGCTACAGACTATGAGTAAGGCACGGGACATACTTAAACAGTAGATAGTCAACTTACCAGAGCTTTTTTGTTTGCGTGCAGAAATGCAGTTCTTGTAACTAATAAAAAGCCACTGAAATGAAAGCTTAGAGTCTCTAAACCATGGAGTATAGGTAAGGTTCTTGCTGGGAATGCATAGAAATCTTTTGAATGACTGAAGTCGTGCACGAATACTATTTCTCTTCCTTTTAAATTAAGTAGCACATGAGAAACATTGGTATCTGACATTTACTTTGCAGTTTGTAACAGCAGATGCTGTTAGGTTCCGAAGTTGTGAGTTCCCATCTTGAAGCTTACGGCCTGATTTTATTTATATATAAATATTTAAATACACACATATACATAGATTTTTAAAGTTTCTTAGCTGTTTATTTTAGTATCTCTGAATATCAGCTTTACCCTACTTGGCCATCCAGAATTATCAGCCACTCTTGGAAACGCAGGCTTGTGTCTGTGGCCCCATTGCTCACTGCTGGTTCTCACCACAAACCTCCCTGTGAGCGGGCCCTGCGGTGGCTGTTCTGTCTCCGTTTATGCCAGGTATGTAAGCACAAGCCCCACGGTAAGCGTGTTTAAGAGATCTCCTTGATTACAATGGGAGTGTTCCTTGAGCTTATAGCTGTGCAAATGTTTACATACCTGGCTCAGTGTGGGCCTATATAAAGATCTGTCTCCGCTTCTCTGCGAAGCCCTTTCTGCCTGCTGCTTTGAGATTTCCCATGCTTCACGTTTTCCCATAATCAGAGGAAGGCTGCCCAGTTCCTTACTAGGAGAAGTCCTAGAGCCTGAGATTTGAAGACAGCAGCTTGCTGGGGATATAAAGATCTGCTAAAACAATTCTGCATACCTCAGCAAATGCATACAGGCTGATGTTGAGGCCCGCATTTCTGGACAGGTTTTTGCCAGGGTGAGGTCTTCCAGATTTCTACCATCCCGTTCTTTGGGTTTGTGCTTTGCCCCTCATCTCTTCGCCATCCCAGAGGATGTCCTCATATCATTCCTTAAAGACAGTGGCTATTACCCTACAAAAGTAAGAAAAATGAACTTTGTCATTATGTAGCACCTCTCTGCATCGCTGTGAACTGATGCAAGCCTGAACCCTCCTGCTGCACACGTACATACATGTGTGTGAATACCAGTGTACGTATGTATGCAAAGATATCATTCCATATACCTTCCAGAAGCTAAAATAACAGGAAGACCACGGAAAGGAATGCATTCTGACAGTTCCAGGAGGTGAATGCATTTGCATTCATGAAGAATCAGCCTGGTCTTCAGTTAATCATTCCTTCACTTTCTCTGTTTGCTCGAAGATTACATTGTTGCTCGGTAGGAAAAAAAATAACCTACCAAAGAGTCTTTTCCGGACTGGAAAGATTTATGCTCTGCTTTGTTGATGTTTTGTGCTAGCACTTATGTCAGTCCTACTCTTAAACTGAGTGTGGTAATGATTTTTTAATATATTTTACAGTGAATTTTTTTTTTTTTTTTTTTTTTTTTTTTTTTTTGGTAAGAAGTACATATGTAATAGTTGTTCTATTTTTTGTTTTGTTTTGTTTTTATGATCCTTATGTGCTGTAATAGAATATAGTACAGTCAACATTTACTTTCTCTCAAGCAAATTCTGAGTGCAGTAGAACTTTGCAGAACTGAGCTTTGTTTTAATGACTGTGATATTGCCCATGTCTACAGTGAAGGCTCTGGTTCTGCAAAGCCAGTGGACATAGGCCTGCTTTCACCGACTGACTCTCAGATACTTTCCAGAGTGTTGAAATGCTCAGTTATATTTTATGACCCAGAATTAATGGCATGTGGAAGCAGCACACGTGTCTGTATTTCCACTGTGTCCTTTGAAATAGAGAGTACATCTGTGCTGGAAACGAGGGGCATCATGGCCAATGGATGATGGTGTGATGGAAAGGAGGTCCTGATGGAACTGTTGGGCTAACCCTGTTGGAATCAAGGCCTCCCAGAGGACCACAGTTACTGTTAAAATGTTTACAACTTTACCTTTTACTTAATTAACGTTCATATGCAATTTGTGGTATTCACAGAGCCCATAGGTTCAATAGCACTCAGTTTGCTTAAAGGGTTTCTATCCCTGAGGCTGTCAACCACCCTAATTGACAGCTTTCCACTTTAGAAATATGTAGTTTCTGGTTAATGCTGAGATTTCAGCTATGTCCCATCACATCTTACTACCTTTGTGCTGCTGCATTGGGCTCACAGTTAAAGGCATACACACAGATGTTCCTTAAAAGAAAGGAAGATGACAGACTCTTCTCTACTGTGTTTCTGCCAAACATTAGTTGCTGAGCATGGGGCTTGTATGTGTGGTTGCTAGAGCTGTTCCTCCTCTTTTGTTCAGTAGCACAGACAATGCTGTCTCTCTCACTTGCTGAGCATTATGGGCTGTGTTCCCCTACAGGACCCACATCACTGCCTGCTTTCTCATGTGGCCTTCAGTGACAGCTATGGTCCTGGGAATAAACCCTACGCTGTTCTGGCTTATAAACTGTGAAAGGTGATCCATGAAATAATCAGATACAAGGAAGTGACCAGACCTGTAGGATTAGGAGTTTGTTAAGATGCAAAGTTGAGGCCCAAATTAAGATACCAGAACAATTCTTATGCTTGTGATTGGAAATGAGCACCCAGGTTTTATAATGGTGGGAGATCATTGCAGAGAAGCTAAGTGTTCAATGTTACATAGACTTCTAGCCAACACTTATGAGCCAGTTTCACTTGGAACTTCGAATCATGCTAATGCTTTATTCCCAGGAATAAGCCTGGGGCTGTATCTGGATAGAGCTGATTGAGATCTGTTACGACAGCAAGAACATTGTGTCAATGCACCTGCAGTGATGGCTTTGATCTCTCTCAAGGGATGACACCAAGCCTGTTGGTAGACAGCTACAGCAGAATGTGACAGGTCTGAGTTCAAAAAAATTGCAGTCCTGCAGCAGGTATCCTATATGACCTTAAGCAAGCTTCTTGCTTGTTCTGTTACTTGGGTCTGTATTGCTAGAAGCAAGAAAAAAAAGTATCTCCTTGTATCTCTTTTATTTATATTGTAAGCTTTTTAGGATGGAACGCTCTTACTCTACCACCACACGGCGCATAACACAAAAGCTAACATAAATAAGAGATGTTCTTATTCCAGCTGAAGGGATAACAAAGCCTTTAGAAAACTAGCTTGTTTAAATGAGGCTAAGCAGGTTGGATTTGGTATGATAACTATTGATGTGGCAGCTATCCACCGCTACTGCTGCTCAAGGACAGTCTTTTCTGTCTGTAAGGAAACCATGAAAATATGAGGTTATTTGGAACATTTTACAAAGCCTGCTCTCTCAGTACACTTCTTATATCGTCAGCTATCTCTGCAGACACTCTGTTCAGCATTCTTACCCCTTGTGCCTGCTTTGGAATTAACCACAGTGGAGAATAGAGCCCACTTGCAGTAAATCTGACATCCCAAGAATCTCTGGCCCCTCCCTTCCCTTCCTGTCTTTGGCTTGCTCCCTGTTAACATTTCTTTCTATTGAGAGAAGGAAAAACAATATTATTTTATGAACTGTTATCAGACATGTACACTTACTTTAAAGGCACGGTCCATTTTTACTGAGCCTGTATTTATCATCTAAGTGCATTTAGTTACTTTATCAGAATGCCCTTTAAAAACAAAGGATGTCATTATATCAAACCACAACTTAGAAACTCTGCACAAAAACTGTTCATCTCACAGGAGAAGCATTACCCAACTGCTGGCCATAAGTTAAGTAGCAGTAATAACAGCGTGCCTAAGATCTGCAACCTGGATTCAGCCTGCTCACTCTCAGTGGAGATGCCCATCAGCTGAGTAGTAGGTGCTGTGGCTGAAAACATCTCTTTCTTTGGAAGTTTGGCTCATGTTAGTGCTGCTTGACCAATTAAATCCCTGATGCTGAAAAAAATGTACTCCTTAGTTACATTATCTGTCCCTTTAATGTCTTTTAAAGAGGAGAGCATGATTTGGTAGAGGAGCAAGAATTTTAGTGGTCCAAAAAAGAATAGAGGAGAACAAAACCTGGGAATCAGATTAGTTCAGTATCTGAACTCTCTTCAGCAAGTGTGTTAAAACACTTTTGTAACACATTTCTCTAAGAAAATAGTTATAAAACTTGGTTGAATGGCAGTAGCAATTGTTGATTTTAGAATTGGAGCTGGATTTTTTTTAATTTTTATTCTTCCCTCTCCACCATGCTGAGGAGCAAGGGCTGAAAAACCCCATTCATTCCTCAGAGACCTTTTAAATCTGTGATCTGGTCAAGGGAGGATGAGGCATATACTCAGACATGTAACGATACAAAACCCTTCAGTCGATAGCAAACCTTTCATTTTACTGACTCTAAGATATAAGAGCAAATAGCGATTTCTCCCAGTTGGAAATTTACACTTCAAGCCATGGGAGTAGGCAGGTTGCAAGTTTCTTTGCTGTAAGGCTTCTTTTTCAGGAAGAGGGAGCAGAAAAGAAGCTGGTCATTGTTTATTCATTTGTTTAAGAGGAAGGATGAATAAAGAGCAAGATGCCTGTGTATGAATTTGAAATTCTCGTGTCTCACAATTTTAATCCCTTGTCACAATCTTGTGGAAATGCTTCATGCTGCAATGTTGAGTTTCCCCATTAAATTTAATTGTAAAGGTTTGAATTATGAAAAATCTGTGTATGGAGAGTTGCGTGTAATCACTAAGAGCATGTGAAATGTGCCACGCTCAGTGGTGTTTCAGTGCTCACTTAGTGCTTATAACTTGGTGTCGACGGTTTACAGGCTGGTTCGACAGCTGCTACCCTCAGTGCCCAATGCATGTGCAACTGCTCTGCTGTAGTGTGTGCTCTCTTGTTAAGAGAGCCACTGGTGTGGTATTTTCATTGCTGCTGCCATTCTGTTAATTGCTATTCTCTTAGGATCTGTGTTTGCATGTAGTAGTGGGGCTTGAGCAACCTTGTCTTGCTGTGGAAATGCAAAGTTCCTGCTGTGCTTAGCACATCTTACTTGAATGGATGAGAGACTCTAGGACTCAAAGATGAATTCTGCTTACCAGATATTGCTGCTGACTTGGTGATCCAGCTGACTCTTTGAATTTCTTGTGGAATGGCTTCATGTGTTCTAAGAATAAAAAATGAGAGAGAGTTATGTGTTTACACAACTTGATGAAACATTAGTAAAACATTAAAGGGATGTTGAAATTGAAAGTTAAAGTTACACTTGAAAGAAGTCCAGCTGTGCTAAAATAAAGAGAGCACAACCGAGGCCCAAATGATCTCTTTAGTTCTGCCCTGAACTTATGTATTAATCTTTTATGCCCTTATAATGTTCTTCAATATATTTCAATTTATTTTCAAGACCAGTGGCTGCGCGTTTGACATTACAAATTTGAGAAAGCCAGCAACTGAGTGGAAATTTGTTTTTGAGCCATTAAAATGTGAGAAAGCTTTCCAAATGTTTAAGAGAAGAAGGTGGTCTGTGTATTGAGGAAATGACCTGTATGTATGAAGAAGGAAGGTGGGATGCTTGTATCTGAAATTCAGTGAGAAGACGAGGAAGGATTTTTAACCTGCAAGCAAAGTCCTGCTCCAATCGGTAGTATCATCTTGTTGGTATATTTTTAAGGTTAATGTGAGGATTACATCCTTCACAAAAGAGAACGTGTGTCAGAAAGACTTTTAGCTCCTTCTATTAAAAATATGTGCCTGTAAAAACAGCAAGGATAGTGGGGAATCGTGCTGACACTGTGTCTGTGTGCATCTGGAAAACCCAGGGTGTGTGTGCTGCAGAAGCTACATTGCATAAACTGTTCCTAGGGTGAAGTGAAATGGAAAAGAGGACAAATGAGCCATCGAGTAATGACTACATCAAGTTGTGCTACAATTGTTAATTTACGGAGCATCAGCATCTCTTCTTGTTATGTTATCTCCTGCCTGCCTTTAGCTGCTTGCCTCCTCCATCTCAGAGCCACAGGCTGCATGACTGCAGGTAGCAGCTGTCCCAGCGTTGCCAGCATATTGGATTGGGGCACCCTTTGTCACCACCACAGGCAAATCAGTAGTGTGAAGTATGAAGAAACATCTAGAAAGTCCTGCTAAGACACTCACATTCTTGACACATGTAAGAAAAGTTTAGTGACTGACAGTGCTTGAAGAAATATTTACTCATACTAAATGCTCATCAGATGCTTAAGAGCCATAGAATGGGGGTGGCTATGCGTATTTTGATGCTGAGATTGCCTGCTTGGGCACTGACTTCAGGGAGGCATCTGCAACTCTGACAAAACGCTGCAAGGTGCTGAGCACTGCTGTGGGGCAGGCAGAGTGGTGCAAACATCATTAACTCTCAGGTTTGTCCTGCTGCCATAGTATGGGGCATCTGCATGCCACGTGCTACGCTGCTCATGTTTCCTAGCTGTCACAGCCAGTTAGAGTGACACAAACAGCATGCTGCTTGCTTGCTCCTGCACAATTTTTATTTTATTTGACTGTTTTGTAGAGTCTGTGGGGAGGGGGGGGGGGGGGGGGGGGGGTATTTTTTTGGCATCCAGCGGCTGAGAGCAGAGTGCCCGCAGCTCAGCTGTGGTTTGAAAGGAAGCATGGTAGAAGGCTGGGAAGCACAAGTGCAGCCTTTGGAATGTCAGCACAACAGTAAAAGGCTTTGGTCCTCTGTGCAGTGAGCTGAGCTGCTTGCTGTCTGAATCTGTGGCCCTGAGTGAATGAGGCCTGGTATCTGAAGATAACTTGGCATTTTTCTCACTTCAAAACAAAAGCAAATGCTGCATACTGTTATGAGTTGGACAGTGGGTTGTGTGAGAGACAAGGGTCAGCATCAGTGGAGCATCTTGCTTTCTGATCTCTTAGCTGGTGGTGGCCGTAACACTGATATCTGCAGCACAGATGCGAGGAAGAGGCTGCCTCCTTGACCTGCTAGGGAGCTGCACTGCTGGGGACTGGAAAGACCCTGTAAGCTTGAGCTTAACTCATAGTGCTGCTTGCCTCTCTAAGGCTAAACCACTGCGATTAATTCTGTCCATCCTAGTCTAGCTAGTGGCATAGTAGCTATGAAACAGCAATAAAACTGCAGAGAAGCAAAATATGTTGGGCACAGCATTGACACTATTGTATACAATAGCAGGAAACTTCATTTAGAATCTTACATACTTCTTTTAATAACTATGTTAAAGTTGAATTCAAGTTAGAACAGATGTATGGAAAGTTTAGCAAGGATATTAAAAGATTGTGAAACCTATCTTATGGGAAGGGACACCAAGAGATTGGCTTGTTTAGTTTAGCAAAATAAAGCTGAGAGAGGACTTGACAGCACTCTATAAATACATCCAGGGCTAAATGCCAGAGAGGGGGAAAAAGCTGTTTAAGCCCAAGAGCAATATTTGCATAAGAACAAGTGGGCATAAACTTGGCGCTGAATAGGTTCAAAAGTGAGGGATAGAAACCGCCTGATTTCCAGTATAGTGAAATCCTGAGAATGCTGTCCAGTAGGACAGTATTTTTTTGTGGACCAGGAGAGGGACTGTGCTGCATGGTGCCCGTGCCCACACTGCCCCAGGCGGAATGGCTGTGGCTTCATTCTGGTCCTTTGGGTTGGTGGAGAGAAGGTCCTGCAGCTGCAGGTGGTCTCCAGCCCTGAGAAAAGCCTTCTTGCTGAAAATGAAGACGCCAGTGTTACATTATGGCCACGTTAACCACGTCCTCGAAGGATCTGGGGAAGTTTCCAGCAGCCCTTGTGCCTGTGTATATGGTCGTGTCGATGGCCATAATGCCTAACTGGCATATCTCTGGGGCTTAAGTATCAGTAAGGCTTATCTGGTGAGAAAGGGATACAAACCTGGACTTCTAATAGTGCAGTCTGAAGGAAGAAAAGCAGCTCTCCTGACTGGAAAAGTCAGAAGTATCTCAAAAGTAGAGTACTGAGAAAAAGGACTTTTCATAACTTTAAGTGGTTTCTTGCTGCTGCTAAAAATTCATACAACCTTTACATTTGATGTTCATGATTACACATTTCCTTCAATACTGTAGCTAGAATAGCACTATGATGCACATTTGACAGGTAAAGGAACGGAAACATGAAGGGTTTGGAGATCTGTAGGCTGGCATGATGATGCCAGGATTCCAGGCTCACAGTTTTCAGCCTGGCATGCTGCCTGTCACACCTGCTATATTCTGTTACATATTCTTTTCTGCACCTTTGGCCATTTGAGCTGAGACTTTCCAGGTATGCTCCTCTATTTATCAGTGATATTTTAGCATCTCTTCTCTGAGACTTAACAAAATATGTACGTGCAGACTTGGTTTTGGACTTCTTCACTGCAAGAATGAGCTGAGGAAAAAAAGCTGAAGGAGGCACAGAAATAGCCTCCGGGGAAGCAGATTGACACGTAGTACTTTGGTAGCTTTGATTTGAGTCAGCTATAACTCGCTGAAATCTGTATGCTCTGTGCACAAAGGTACCTTCTGTTCTGAGCATTAAACTGCAAAAAAGCATAGTTAACACAACCTTAAAAAGAGATGACAGTGGTACCAGGGCAGTGATTTGTCAATTATAGTCATTTTCTGTGCTTTTTGATTACTTTTCTCTAAACGTTCTCCTAACCTGGGAAATGGGGAAAGGCAGGGCACGTTTCCTTGTGTTGCTACTGTTTTGCAAACAGAAAAGCAACTGCACTGATGGACAGCAGTGAGAAAAATGTGTGTGGCACTTGTACTGCTGCTCCAGAAAGCACTGTTCTGACAGCATGAAAAACTTCTGCTACTGACCTCCATCATTAACCTCCCTTTTCGCTTGGTCCCCCGCAGCCCAGTGTTAATGAAAAGAAGTAAGATTTAAAAGCTCTTCACAGTTTGGGCTGAGTTCTACTTTATGTTGTGATTAAGAAGAGGAAGAATTGAAGACGTCTTTTTCAGTGTTTTTGAATGAAAATTGTTACTGGGGATAAGTATGATTACTTTAATATTTCTGAAAAAACACGGTCTGATACTTTGGTTTAAATATGACTATTTAAAAAAGAAAACTGACACGAACTTCTGGCATATCAAAACAAAGCAAAAAAGCTGAGCAAAACGAGATTACAGTGGGGGAGTATCAAACTCATTTGAATTTTGGTATCAACTTTTAATTTATTCTTTTTTAATTTTTTTTTTTTTATCCTGATAGGTATTAATGTCTATTATTTGTCCATTAGTGCTACTTGCTGACTACAGTTTCTCTCTTTCAGAGCAAGCCATTTTCCTCCTTGGCACTTCAGGTAATTTGGGAATATATTTATCTCCGCATTTACTTTACAGCTGACTCCCTGCTTTCTTGGCAGTATCTCTTTAAGTTGTATTTTAGCTGTACTGTACTTGGGGGGTGGAGGGAGTTTGTTTATGATTTTAGGAGAAAGCTATTTTGGCTTATACTCTCTTTTCTTCCAGGAAAAAAAAAAAAAAAGCCACAGAATCTTCAAATTCTTTCTGATGTTAAAAAGCTCAGAAAGCTGTATGTTGGTAGGATACAAACATATCTAGTATCCTTTTTCATAATCATATTGGGTGCCTATGTCTGTTTTAAAGTACGTAAATGGCTACAGAAATCTGTTTCCAAGCATTAAGGTGTTTTTTTATTTTTCGTTTTTTTTTTTTTGTTGTTTCTTTCTATCTATAAAAGAAAAGAAAATGGAATAATTTCTGGATTAGCAGATGGCAAATACTTAGCAGCCTATGTGAAATTATTTTTTGTGTTAGTCCAGCTTCGGGCAGAATCAGAATCATGTGCCATCTACTTAGGGAAGCGTCTGAAGTCAGGAATGGGGTAAATTGTGGAAGGGTTATTCTGAGGATGCCCACACCTTCATCACCCCCATTTTCCAATTCTGTAAGTAAACAGAAGCCAGCAGTCTCCAGGTCTGTCAGCGCAGCACTCTTCACAGGCCTTGAAATTAATCTTAAATAAAAATAAAAAGCTACTATGTAGGCACAACAAAATTTACTATAAATGAGTCTTAAGTACATAGTTACATGTCAGACCCAAATGGCTCCAAAAGAGTTGCTCCGGGCTATTGTGTAAGCAATACTCCTTTGAGAAATGTATAAATACATGTAATTCAGTACATAATACACATGTTAAAAAACTACCTA